TTCTTGGATCGTGGACACAAGGCTTAAGGCTTGTATATCCGCGCGTAACGTAAAGGTACGTTATATTAAGCTTTATATAATATACAACTTTTTTACACAATACTATTTCTATATGATATTTCTAAGAATCTCGCCCACGCTTGGTTTCATTCTCTCGTCTTCATTTCTCTTAACGTGTAAGTTACAAAATGTGTTTATAAAATGACTGTTGATTTTGTGTTACACTTGGTCTTTTTACACACACATATATATACATATATAATATAAAAATTACTTTTACTATTGAATAAATAGATTTTGCGTAAATTTAGGTTGAGCAAGACACATCTATAAGACAAACTGTACACATAGAATAACAAGGGCATATATTGTACTGTGAAGTAATGGTGATATATGATTTAGCCGATTATTTGTCAAACTTTTGTCGGAATTGCAAATCGTCAAACAATTTTCACTACTATGACGCTGTATCTGTAAACAATTCTCAAAAATGAGCAAAACGGAGAAACGCAGTTGACGGGATATATCGTATGTAAAATGACTGAGCTACCGCTACTAAAAGAGAACTGGCACAACGTGACGAATTTTTATATTTGTGCGTATATGTAATAGAATGTACATAAAATATTTGTTTTTCCTTTCAAGCATGTGATGCATTGAAAGCGTCTCTCCGGGTGTTACTTCGTAATTTAATTTGATTAAACTTAATGGCACTTTAATCTTTGTGACCAGCACAACGTTAAAAAATGGAAGCTATTTCTTGTACGATTTTATTTGCATCCATTCGTTATTTATAACGTCTTTATTGTAAAGTGTTAAATTGTATGTCGCCAGTAATTTAAAAACAAATCTTCATAAATTTAAGCGACCTACACTGGCTAGTATTTTTTATTTAAAAACGAATGTTGGGGCCGAAACGTTGTAACATTCGTTTTTAAATAAAAAATACTAGCCAGTGTAGGTCGCTTAAATTTATGAAGATTTGTCTTTATTGTAAATCCAACGTTTCGAAATTATTCTATTATGTTATATTACTGATTGTGAGATCGATACTTTTCGTAATTAACAGTATTCGTTTATCAATTAAGTGCGCGAGTATTGTGTATTTTGCACGTAGGAGAAATCAAATGATTACAGATATTTTTAAATAAAATAATCCATTCCAAGACAATGGATTTGTGAGACATTACAACTATCTCTGTGATATATTCTCAATCTCGATACAAACTCTTGATCTTCCAGACAAATTGTGATTGTACATATTTCAGAAATAATATTTCAAGATTGGCGTTCGAAAAGTAATTCATTTCAATTCATAAAAACAGATAATATAAAATATTTTATCGACAAATTTATTATCCTTGAAAACATGAATCTTAAATTTATTACCGATAATCAAAAAGACTGTTGCATATCCGACGGCAGCTTTGTCACAAATCCATTGCCTAAAAATTAAAATAACTGAAGACTCACCAGTCCCCGACGCGCAACAGCGGAGTTTTCATACGACGTTAATCTGCAACATTTTAATACATTCAAATATTACAAAGCGGCATTGAAAACAAATTCTGCGTGCTTCATTCGCTCGCGTAAAAGAGTAATGGCTGCGTTCGGCAGGAAAAGCTGCTTTGCAACTGTTGTAAAATTCGTGAATCTGATTGGTGTGTTCTCTCAATCTTGTGTGAATTTAAGAGCACACGCCAATCAGATTCATGAATTTTACGACAGTCGCAAAGCAGCTTTTTCTGCCGAACGTAGCCATTGTTTCCAAAGAGTGAATGTCTCAAATATTAATCCGCACCCAGCAAACACAAAGTAACAGTTATGTAACTGTTACTTTGTGTTTGCTGGGTATTTTGCACCTAGGAAAAAATCAAATAATTACGGACATTTTTAAATAAAATCCGAGACGTCGGAGTGCTCTTCCTCCCTTCTCATCTCACTCTCTCTCTCGCTCCATCGAGTGCAGAATAGCACTTGGACGGATTTAGCAATGCCGAGCGCAGGCTGTTGCATACAATTTCGCCAAGCTCGATCTCTGCAACGCTACGAGGTGCGCGGGGGAGGGGGGGGGGAGGACTCCGCGACCTTTCCAGATCCTTCGCGAATAGCCTCGTCGTGGCCGAGCTCGCGGAAATTACACCGGCGATCACAAGATACTCACCCACGGTTGCTCCGCCGGCGCCTGTTGCCACCCCGGGCCTTCTCTCGCCTCGCCGTTGCTCCCGATTCCTGGCACTAATGCACACGCACACGCGCACACAACCTCGCGAAGCCGGGGTTAGCCACTATCACTCGCGAGCCG